TCTCTGATGGCGAAACACCACGGGATGGAGAGCGGCGGTGAGAGGGCCTGGCAGCACCATTGGCGTCACCCCTTCAAGCCACGGTCCCCTGTCCCTGACCATCTCCCTGGCTCTCCATTTCCGCCAGCCCCATCCCTGCCCTGCCCTGCCCTGTCTGCTGCCACCAGACGAAGGGGACGCAGCGGGCTGATGGTAGCTGCCTGTGTGACATGGCTCGGGCAGGATGTTTTGGTGCAGGGGATGGAATGTCACAGCTGCAGGACAAGGATACCGGGCAACCAGAGCTGTGGGCCCCAGGGCAAGTGCTTGCCACGCTGCACCCAGGATGGTCACTGTGATGAGCAGAGGGACAGGCAGACCCTGCGGTGGGTCCTTTAGGGATGGTGCCATGGGCACAAGACTCCTGGGGACTGCTGCCCACACCGGAGCAGGGGTGGGGGACAGCCACCATCCGGCTCACCCTGCTCCTGCATGCAGCCCGGAGACAGGATCAGATCATCGATGGCCACGGTCCCCGTGCTGCCAGCCACCCCCTCGATCAGCACCTGCAGGGAAGCACCGCACCGGCAACGTCAACACAGGGCCTTGCACAGCATGGAGGGATGGGTGATGCTGCAGGGCAGGGGGACACACCGAGGAGCTGCGGGATGGGGGAACCCAGCTCCTGTGATCGGACAACACGCGCTTCCCCCAGGAAGGGGCTCAGTGGGAGCAGGGGTGATGCTGTGGCTGGAAGGAGTGTGCACGGTGGGGCTGGCAGGGCCACGGTGGGCTTGGGGCGATGGTGCTGCCCCTGCACACAGCCATGGCCTGCAGCTGGCCAGGGGTGCTCTCTGGGTTCCCTCAGGATGCCATTGGGGTGCCCTCCAGGGCCAGCTGAGAGGGGGGTTGAGTTGTGTGGGTGGCTGTGGAGGACAGCAGACAGGACAGTGGGAAGGCATGGGGTGACATGGGATGGATGAAGACACCTCCCCCTCCCCGTTCCAGTGGGGTGGTCCCTGGGCTGGGGATTTGGAGGTGTGGGCACAGGGACACGAGGGTGGCACATGCCAGCATCAGGAGGCTCAGCTCTGGTGTCCGGTTCCCAGTTCAACCCCTACCCCTGGTCCCATGTGTGTGTACTGTGGGTGGCCCTGTGCCCTCTCTGGGGTGGCCCTGTGCCCCTTGCCCCACAGGCAGCCCAGCTTGCCCCAGCATGGTGCAGGCCAACCTTGAAGCTCCCTGTCACATTGAAGTCCACTCTCTCCCGGACCCAGCAGCTGCCCAGGTCGCCCGTCCTCTCCCTCATCAGGTGCTTGGTGGAGTTGGTCACATAGAAGATGCTGAGGCTGCTGGTGGTGGAGCCGTGGAGGTGGCAGTACAGCACGAGCTGGGGATGGGGAGGGGGGGGTGAGTGAGCACCGAAGCCTCAGGGCAGGGGCACGCAGCCCCCCGCACCCCATGGCGTGGCTGCTGCCCTACGGGATGCTCACAAAGGTGGGGCTGGAGGAGCTCAGAGCTCGCAATGGGCAATGGAGAAGCCACCAAACCACCCCCAAAAACCCACTGCCCATCCCCAGCAAAGGGCCAAGCGCAGCCCCAGCCCCATGTGGGGGTCCCCACGGGGACCCTGTCCCCCGCCACCGCCATGCCCACAAAGGCTGTGATGTGGGGTCCCAGCAGGACTCACAGAGCAGGAGCTGGTGGCCTGGAAAGTGGGACTGCTGAGCCGGGCCGGGCCGCCAGCCCCCGCGGCCGAGGCACTGCCCACGTGGAGGAAAAAACCTGTGGGAGATGCCGGTAAGGAAGGGGCTGAGTGGTGCCCATTTGGGCATGCGGGTGCAAGACACTGTTTTCCCGGCACAGCCTTAAGCCAAGCCCAGGCACGTGTTACCCCAGGGGCCAGAGGGCATGTCCGCCCCAGGGCCAGTGATGCCCCAGGGACCCATGGTGGGGCTCCCCTGGGGTGCCAGTGCCCAGCCACGTACCTGCCCTGCTGTTATTGCTGTGGTCCCGGGTGGGCATGCTGTACATGGTCCCCAGGTTCAGACTCGTGTTCCTCTCCCACATCGGCTGCCCGACCTCCGCTTTCCAGCTGCAAAGACCTTGCTCAAAGGAGCAAAAGGTGAAGGACTCTGAAGGGAGGGAGGGAGAGCAGAGTGACCCAGGGAGCTCCCTGTGGTGGGCTGACCCCTCCACAAAATCCTCAGGGTGATTTTTACCCCTCTGGCCGCACAGCCATGGGGCACAGCTGGGGTGAACCCTGCTAGCCCCACGGCCCGGCTTTGCCCCACCAGGGCAGACCCTCAGTGCGGTCGGGGGGCCAGTGGGCAGGACCCCCTCCCCAGGGCCAGGGGTACTCACTGCACCGCATTGCATCCTCATCCGAGCCATCCCCACAGTCGTCGGTGCCATCGCAGAAGCGGTGCTGTGCCAGGCAGGAGCCCTGGCCGCAGCAGCTCTCCTCCGCCCCACAGACATGTTGCCTGGGCTCTGGGGTGGTGGGACACGCCATCAGCACATGGCTGGCCCTGCAGGCACCCTGACACGTGCTGGGCTTCCCCCACATCCTTTCCCGGGTTGCTTGAGGGACAGGCTTTCACTACTGGCCCCATGCCCTGGCCAGGGCAAGGTGCCCCCAAGACACAGCGGGCAGCGGGAGAGCTCCCCTGGGGTGCAAAGCCCAAACCAATTTCCCTGGGGATCCTGGCTCACATCTCATCCCAGCGGAAGCGGGACTCACCCTGCAAGCCGCAGCTCCTGAAGATGATGTCATCGAGCGCCAGCTCTGCCCTGCACGCGGGCGGTTTTGTCAGGGAGAAGATGAGCTGCCGACGAGAGGACGGGGATGGCATGAGCTGCCCAGGCATCCTCGGCTCCCAGTGCATCACCCGGCTCCTCTGGCCCCAGCTCGTGGGGATGGTGCCCGGGTACTGACACAGCACTGTCTCACCTGGAACTGCTCCGTGATCCGGCCCGGGTAGGCGACCAGCTGGTGCCAGCCCTCGCCTCCGCGCTCGGGGCTCTGCCACAGCCCCACCACCTCGTCCCTGTACGCCATGGCCAGACGCAGCACCGGCTGCTCCGTCTGGTTGAGCCCTGTGGGGAGCCCCAAAACGTGGCCCTCGGCACTGGGCATCCCAGGGTACCCGCGGGGAGAAACCAAACCCCACCAGCTCTGGGGACCGGAGATGAGACCCCCGGGTCCCACCAGCTCTGCTTGCAGAGCATGGAAGAGGCGAGCCAGCATGGCAAGGACCTATCTCAAGGTGCCAGTGGCTCTGTCCCTGCCATGGGGGCAGATGGTCCCGTCCCTCCCCACTGCTCCCCATTGTTGCTTCCCTGTGCCCGGTACCCTGAGGCCCGTCCGTGCCTGCCGTGGGCACCCTCACCGCTTCCCGAGAGGTGGTACCAGGCCCTGATCTCGCATGTGGCGGCTGCTTCCCTCATCACTGGTGACCTGAGCCAGGCCGTGGCCGTGGTCTTTGCCGGGGGGGACACGGTCACCATGAACCACCCTGGGGAGGGCAGAGAGCAGAGTGGGGGCTGCAGCCCTATGGGATGGCACTGGAGCTGTGGCTGGCACCGCTCCTGCCCCACCATGAGTCTGCTGCATCCCCTGCACCCTACAAGGATGGGTGTTCCAGCACCCTGGCTTCAGGGCACCCATGGCCCAGAGGTGTGGTGCTGTGGGTGCCTGGAGCCTGCTCAGCAGCCAAGCAGCTCCCGCTTACCCAGGTCGGTGCCCACGGTGTGGTCTGAGTGGGGCCCCATGCCCCATGCGGCCAGGTTGGCCCGGCCCCGCACCCATCTGTAAGTTGAGGTGCTCACGTCCTGCCAGCCACAGTTGCCTTCCTCGAAATCGCAGGTGAAGGGGGTGCCCAGCACAGTCGAGCCCCGCAGGTACCCTGAGGGTGGGGCGGACAGGGTGTCAGGGCAGGGCTGGGTCCACCCTGGGGTCCTGCACCCACCCCAGGGACCTGCACCCACCTGGGTAGACCTGCACCCACCCTGGGGTTCTGCATCCACCCGGGGGACCTACATCCACCCTGGCAACCTGCATCCAGCCTGGCGACCTATGCCCACCTCAGGGACCTGCACCCACTCCGGGAACCTGTGCTTACCTGGGGGACCTTCACCCATGATGGGGTCCTGCACCCACCCTTGGCACCAGCACCCACCCCAGCACCCACCCTGGGATCCTGCACCCACCCCAGGGACCAGCACCCACCCCAGGGACCTGCACCTACGGTGCCCCCTGCTCCCGCTGCTGCAGCTGTTGACAACCGTGGACCCACCCCAGCACCTACGGTGCCCCCTGCTCCATTGCCTGCTCTCGCCCCAGGAGCAGGGAGCAGGAGTGGGGCTAGGGGGTTGGGGGATGACAACCGTGGACCCACCGGGAAGAACAGTCCCAGCTACGGGAGAGACCACGGGGCTGAAAACCCCACGAGGATCTGGGCACAGTGCCCGCAGCAGGTGACAGAGGGCACAGGTGGCCTGCAGGTGGCATTTGTCTGGGCTCCCGGGTTTGGGACCCTGCTGGGGGGAGTGCTGAGCTCTCAGCGGTATTGTCCCTTGGACGGGACCCCCCACCACTGCCCCCGCACCCCACACTTCCCACATCTCCTGCTTTGCCATCTCCCACTATCAGCCCCGCTCCCACACGCCCTCAGGGAGCCAGAGCCTGCCGGGGTGGGGGCACTGACCCTCCAGCCTGGTATATCACACCCCTGCTCCGAGTCTCAGCCCCCATTTTGGGGGAAACTGGAAAATCTGGGCATTTTCCTCCCCACGCTGAGCAAAGCCGTTGGTGATATCCAGCCCGGCGCTGGTGGCTCTGGCGCTTGCTTGCCCAGGGGAATCACAGTCTGACCTTCGCCAACGGAGCCCAGAGAAGGGTTTTGCTGGGCTGTATCTGCCCCAGCCCCCCCCGGAACAGCACAACCCCCCCGAGCTGGGGGAAGCAGCAACCCCCATGGGACCCCACGCCGGGGAGGGACGGATCAGAGCAGCCAGCATCGCGGCCCCTTCCCTCCCTGCAGCGCGACCCCTGTGTTGGCAGAGAGCTCACCCAGCAGCAGCAGGAGGGCAAGCACCGCCTGCCTGGCCATCTCGGCCTCCAGGCCGTGGTGACGGTAAAACGGAGCCGGGAGAGGCACAGGGCCAGCAGGGGAGGCCACGCTGCGAGCCCAGGGCTGGAATCTGCTCCCTGGGACCTGCCTCGTGTTGGACTTCAGCCCCGCCGTTATCGGCTTCCCAGCCCCGGCAGCGAGGTTTATGGCGAGGCGGTGTGCCGGGCTGGGACAGGCCACCCACGGTCCTGCTGCCTGGCACAGCATCACAGGCGGCGAGCTGGCAGCTGTGTGTCCGCAGGAGACCTTCGGCTGCTTTTCCCCACCGAACCCCTCTTCTTCAGCCCCCCTTTTCCAACCATGCCAAGATGCTGGGTGCTGCTCTGACTGGGACGGGGCCACCTCACGCGGTCCAGTGGCACACATCGGCTCAGCGAGAAAAAAGGCCACTTCTTCTTGCCGAGCCAGCGATGCTGCCAGCCCTGGGGGAGAAGCTGGCACCTCCGCCAGGGGTGTGAGGGCCATGCCGTGCCAGCTGCCTGGGCTGTATCATGTCTAACCACAGGGAGAAACAGTCCCCGAGCATAAGGAGCAGTGAGAGAGCCTTTGGGTGCAGGGCACAGCCTTCTTGGGTGCAAGGCACAGGTTTGGGCACAGGGCACAGCCTTTGGGCACAGGGCGTGCGCTGGCAGCAGGGTGTACCCTGGTCAGGGAGGGCAGCTGTGCTGGAGGGCAGTAGAAAGTGGGTGCAAGGAGTGACCCCCAAGGCAGGAAAGGTATAAATGGGTCATGATGTACCCGGGTAATGGCGAGCCGCAACAGGCAGGGATCCTTAGGACTGGGGGTGTTTAGCCATAAAAATGTTGGGGCTTTGAATTCAGAACAAAACTCCGGCTGTCTGGAGACTTGGGACAGGCAGGAGGACACGCAGGAGGAGCAGCCTGTCCCAGCACCCAGCTGAGCTGGTTCTGCCAAAAGCTGGGGCTCTAGCACAGCCCAGTCCCAGGGACACACCGATGGCAGGCAGGAGGGGTGTCTCAGCCTGCCCGGTCCAGGCTGAGCAGCCTGGCAGCCCTGTGCTCCCACTGCCATGTGCGGTCTGTGCGGCAGCCGCCTTGGGAGGATGCCCAGGCCAGCGCAGAGCCTGGCAGGCTGCCTGCAGAGCTCCTTCTCCAGGCTCATGGCTGCCTCTCCCCAGTCTGTACCCTCTTCCCCAACCCCAGCAGGCAAGCCCCTGGCCCTGGGGACGGACCGGGCTCATGGCTGCCTCTCCCCAGCCTGTACCCTCTTCCCCAACCCCAGCAGGCAGCCCCTGGCCCTGGGGACCCAGAGGTGCCATCAGCAGGAGCCAGCCCTCACCCCTGCCTGCACCGCTCCATCTGGCAGGAGCATCTCAGCACCCAGCTCACGACTGCCACAGGGCAAAGGGGCATGGCTCTAGGGCCACAACCAGGTCAGTCCTGGGGGAGAACAACCCCAGCAGAGGCCCAGGAAGGGCTGTTCAGCCTGGAAAGAGAATGGCTCGGCAGCCAGAGCCCCCACACAGCACTACCAGAGCGGCCTGGTGATAGCAACCAGTGTCCCCGCCTCAGTTTCCCCACCTGGGCAGGGGGAGCTGCTGCCAGGGCTCATGGGGGCTGGCACTGCCCCAGGGGAGCTCTCCTGCCTCTGCTGCCGGCAGCCCCTGCGCCCAGAGAGGGCCCCCCATTGCTGAAGGCTGAGTGCAGAGGTTTCTCCCCTCCTAGCCGATGGCCTTGGACAGCAGATTGCAGCGCGATTGCATCAGGTGCAGTAAAATGCAGGGTTCAGCTCCTTCCCCCAGCGTGAGCCGGAACAGGCAGATGCCAGCAACCCTGCGCCCTCCCAGCCTGGGCACCCTGGAGCCGGCAGTGCCTGCAGGCCCTTCCCTGGCTGCCTGGAAACCTGGCAGGCACCAAGCTGACCACAAGCCAGCGCTGTGGCCTCCGGCAAAGGAGCCACCAGCCTGCTGGGTGCCACAGGCAGAGCATCTCCAGCAGGTCTGATCCTCTCTGATCCCTCCCCTCTGCACTGGGGAGACACAGTGGGATCCTGGGCCCCCAGTACGAGAGAGACGTGGGCATACAGGAGCAGATCCAGCTCGGGGCTGTGACGATGATGAAAGGACCGGACTTCCCACGAGGACAGGCTGAGAGCGCTGGAGCTGCTCAGTCTGGAGAAGAGAAGGCGCAGGGGGATGTCACCCATGTGTATAAAGACCTGACGGGAGGGAGCAGAGGGAAGGAGCCAGCCTCTTCTGAGCAGCAAGTGCCCCATGAAGGGCCGAGAGACAAGAAGAACAAAGCAAGGACACGAAACACCGCTTAAGATTAAGAAAAAACTTTTTTCCTGTGAGGGTTGTCAAAACCAGAGCAGGTTGCCCAGGCTGCTGTGGGGTCTCCATCCGTGGAGATGCCCAAAACCCACCTGGTCACAGCCCTGAGCAACCTGCCGGAGCTGGCCCCAGTGGGGCAGGGGGCCAGACTAGACCATCTCCAAGGTGCCTTCAAGCTCTGCGATTTGGTGGCTCAAAGGGAAGCTGTGCTCCTCCATGTGACCAATGCAAGGCACTCGGCCCCCACCCGCCCAGGGTCTGACACTTAACAGCCACTAGTGTTAGGGAATGAGACCCCACGCACGCACGACCGTTGGGCGACATTCACCCCGGCATGGGGGAGATGGTCAACACCTTGCAGGAGGTAAGGTCTAGGCACAGCAGAGCTATTTTTCTAGAGGCCTAGTGCAACCTCATGCATGTTTAGGGTACCTGGGCTTAGCCCTCAGCTTTCTTCCCCCTCCACCAGCTTGCAAGGCTGGAGGTGGCTTTAGGCACCATCTTCCGCAGGAGACACAGCTCCAGCCCCGAGCCACCAGCCGGGCAGTGGGCCCTGCACCCCCAGCCTGGCCCACGAAGCTCATCCCCACCCATCACGGTCTACCTTTTGAGTTTGGGGCAGGACACCAGGCACAGGGGCCGAGCTTTAGCAGGTCGTGCTAACCCTGCACTGCTCTGGGCACAGAGGAACCGCCTCCTGTTTAGGTAGCCTGCATCCCTGACAGCAAGAAGGGAAGGCAGGGAGGCAGCAGCTGGCAAAGTGGCCAGGCAGGAGCCGGGAGCACGCAGGGTCACAGCCCGACAAGTGAAACAGGCCTGGGACCAGGGGAGGCAAGGTTCCTCCAGCCCCAACATCGTATGGAATGGCGATCGAGCAATCCACCTGGCCAACCTGACCTGCACGTCTCCCTCCGGCTCTCCTGCCACTGAAGGTTCCAGCAGCTTTTCCCAGTCTCCCCACCCTGCTCCTCACTGGAAGCGCAAGCGGAGAGTCCCCCTGGGAAATACTGAGGGGCGGGAGCCAGTCCTGGCCGTCCGGAGGGCTGAAGTCAAGGAGGATGCTCTACCTCAAGGTGCGACCACCTGCCAGGCTGGGAACAGGCATGTTCTTCCAAACCCAGGCAGCTCGGCTCCCCCCCAGCAGGAGATGAGGACGGTCCTTCCCATGGGACCACCCTGCCCTTCCCTCCACCAGGCACGGGGACCCATCGCTTTCTCCTCATCTGCCTCAGCCCTTCCCAAGGCAAATCCTGACACACCTTCTGCTGTCCCCACCCCAGACCCTGCCAGCTCCGGGGTCAGGCCCCCCACAAGGGGCTGGAAACCCAGGGGGCATCATTCCCACTGTAAGGGGGTACAACCCAGACCCAGGGGAGCCATGAATGCGTGACCACGCAAGCAGCTGCGCTCCCCAACGTGTTTAATTCTCACATACACACGTGGGACAAACCCCCTTGCCACCGGGGAGGCCGGGGCAGAGCGCCCACCAGCTTCACCAAGGCTTTGCCACGCTGTGCCGGGGAGGTGAAGAGCACCCATGGCGTGTGGGAAGTCCAGTGACGGTGGAGAACGGGCAAGTTCAACACAAAGAAAAACCAGGAGAGTCTGGAGTGCTGCTGAGCACGGGGAGCCTGCTGCCACCGCCCTGACGCCGGATCCGGCCGCACCAGCTCCAGGCTGGCGCCGATGCTGCTGCCCAGCCAGAGCAAGTCAGTAGCCTTCATCTGCCCAGGTGATCTCGTAGTCCGGATACTCGGCTTTCAGCTTCTCCGTAGTCACGGAGTGGTCCGCTCGCCCAAAGCCCTGGCAGAGGAGAGAGGGTCCTGAAGTAGAGCCGAGGTGGTTACCACCCACGGGAGAGTTCAGCGAACCCCTGGGGCGGCTCACTGCAACCAGAGACTCCGGCAGCAGCCCCTGGCAGTGGAAGACGCTGCTGAGCCCGTGTCCGTGAAAGACCCATTGGCTCCAATCCCTCCTTGGCAGCGGCTCAGACTGCGGGCCACTCAGCCTGGCTCCAGCTGCCAGACGGCAATGGCAGCCAGGGAGGGGGACAGTGCCACCCCGGAGCTGGGAAAACCGGCACCGGTATCACCAATACCCTCCTCGGGGCACACAGAGGGACACCAAGGGGACACGGGCACCCCCAAGTCTGCCCTGGCAGCGCCGCTGCCCTCCGGCTCGGCCCTTCCGCTCCCAAAGGGATGCGGTGCCGGTTCGGCCACGAGCAGCAGGACCGGCACGGGCACTTGTGCCGCCGTCGGGAGGGGGCAGACGCGGCCATCCCCCCCCCCCTGCCGCACCCGCGGCGCCTCGCTTACCACCGAGTACCCGTAGACGTGGATCTTCCTCTCCTCGGGGCGGTGGGAGAGGCGGCCGCCCCCCAGGCACTCGCAGCCCAGGCCCTGCTGCGCCAGCTCCTGCGCCGTC